TGATTACCTTTTGCCTCTTTTACTGGATATCATGTCAGACATTAACGTCGTCTTTCATTACAAAGATGTTCAATTCATTAGACTCCAGCTTTCTTTTGCATCTGTCGCATTTTCCTAAATCACATCCATCATAATCCCCTTAGCTGGACTTTGGTTTCCAAAATCTTATCAGTTATACACTTTGAGACTATCATTAATTAATGGATCACATGTATAAATATTTAATATCCACTGTTATGTATTGTTTCTCATAGAGAAAAATCTGTAGTTCCAAAAAACCTTTGCCAATTCCTTAAATGTCAGTAACATTCAATCTAATATAACATAAAAACTGCACCTAAAAGGAAATGAACCAAGTGATTTCAAAACACAAAGAAGTGAGGATGGGTTAACAAACATTTGAAAGAATAGTGTACTTGTTGTTAGCTGCTGTTGAATCCTCCACAACCTTTGGCAACCTCACACACAATGGAATGAAGCACTGCCCAGTCCTGTGCCATCTTCATGATTGGCTGGGGATCTAGCCATTGTGATGTGTAGGATTTTCATTGGCTGGTTTTCAGAAGTAGATCATCAGGGCTTTCTTTCTAGAATAGTGTCCTACTCGCTCACAATGAAAGAAATGTCAGTTAACAAATACGATACCATCTTACCTATCAATTTGGATTTTTTTAAATTGTTATCCCCAACAATTGTGTTAATGTAGGTATTAATTTGTAGAGATGAAATACAACTTTGTATTACCTTTCAGGAAAGCAATTTGAGTAGTTGGATAAAGAACCTTAAGAAAATTTACAACCTTTGGGCAAGGAATTAATATTGGAGGTATTTTTCCTAAGAAAATAATCAGAGGTGATCACAGAATCATTGTACAAAAATATTCATCACAGCATATCTCAAAATTGAATCAATTAATTATCCAATAGTATGGAACGATTTAAATAAATTATAACACATTCATATAATGAAAATTGGGTAGTCATTAAGAATAATGTCCTATGTTATATCTAAGCACATGATAAAATTACTCATAATAACAACAAAAAGACAAATAACCCAATTTAAAAATGGGCAAAGGACTTGAATAGACATTTCATGGAAGAAGATACACAAATAGCCAATAAATACATGGGGGA